CCAAGGAATAGACCTTTTCCCCCTTGGGGCTTTTTTGGTTTTTTTTGGGGGGTTTTTCGGCCGGGGCAGTATTAAAGAAGTTTTTTTTTGGGGGGGCCCCCTTTTTGGGGAAGGAGGGTGGTTTTTTTGGCTTTTTGGTTTTAGGAGGGCCTAGAGGGAAACCCCAATTGTTTTTGGGGAAATTCGGTTTGCCCCCCCCCCTCTTTTACAAAGTTTTTTTCAGTTCCCTTTTCTACAGGAGGGGGGTCTTTCGGGGAGTTCCGTTACACCCGTTGGACCCCCCCTCCCCCCTCAAAAAATTTTTTTTAAGTTTCCTTTCCCCCGGGGGGGGGGTTTTTCGGGGGGGACCCAAAAAAACAAGGGGTTCCTTTTTTTTGGGGGACCCCCCCCCCCCCCCCCCCCCCAGTTCCTCATAGATTTTCGGCTCCCCTACATACCTCGAGGACGAGTGTCCTTCTGTAATGAAGCAGAAACAGCATGACGCCCAGTACATCCGCGTGACCCCTCCCCCCCCCCCCCTCCCCCACCGTTTTCGCACATTTTTTCAGCTCCCCTTCCTAGAGGACGAGTGTCCTTCGGTGGCGAGGCAGAACGACATGACGGCCTCCCAGGCCATGTCGAGGAGGGTGCGGTGCCTGAGGCCTCTCGAGAGGGCCGGAGCAGTCTTCGACACCCTCAACGCCTGCCAGCACGACTGCTTCCCGGTGGTGGATGATGAGGGCGGGGACGTGTTGGTAGGGACTATCTTGAGGTGGGTAAGGGAAGAGGAAGGGAGACGCAGGAAAAGCAAGCTTTGATCTCAATAAATAAATTAAATGGATGATAAGTTTTTGTCATCATGCTTTGGTTCAAGAAAAGTGATGGGTTTTTGTTTTCGTCATCGTGCTTTGGTTAATAGATAGTGGCTAGGGGTCACTTGCTGTCATCACGCTTTGATTTCAAAAGTGGCAGGTGTGACTGCCATCGTGCTTTGATTCGAAAGGAGCAGATTTTTTTGTCATGCGTTGATTCAAACTCTGGCCAAAAAATTGTCATCATCATGCTGTTCGTTCTTGTCGTGTGACGGATGCTATTTTTTGTCAAATGGGTTTTCGTCATCTATGAGATTCATTTTTGTCAACTTATGAAAAGGTTTTGACAAGGTTCCCTTCGAGCGTGGAGGTAGCAGGGCATCGCGGTGATTTTTTTCAGTTCAAAAGCATTGTCGTGAGGGACTGCCATCAGTCTTTTTTGGTTTTTCAACGTGGCGGAAACCACACGTAGTTTGTGCCTCCGGAACGTATTTGTTTTTGCCAGTTCGCCTTCCCCCGCCTATGATTTTCTTTCTGTCCCCCAACCAACTGAAATCCTCTAAAATCAAAACAAATTCAAACAATAAGCATCATTATTTTGTCAGCAACGGAAAAAAGCATGTTTTTTTCGCTAGCAACGAAAAGCAAAACACTCCTATATTTTTTTTCGCCTTGACCTTGCCGCGTCATTTTGCAGAAAGTGCTTGATGCTCCTCCTGCACCAGAAGGCCTTCGGCCCAGTGGGGACCGAGCTAGGGGACGGGCAGCAGAACAGTCGTAGCGCCGCCCGGCAGCACCAGGGGAGGGGAGGGGGGTCAGCCAACGCTAGCGCTGACGCCTCCTTGGGTATCTCGCCGCCTATATCGTGGGGGGCGATGGAGCGCATCTACCCTCGGTACCCGACGATCGAGTCCATAGACCTGTCCGATGCGGAACGGAGGATGTGGATGGAC